CCCCCCCCATGACCAGAAACAGGGGGTGCCCCTAAATTTCCCTTAATTGCCTTAAAACTGCCTGGATCTGGCAGCGCGGAGCAGACCTGCTCGCAGCACACGACGTACCAGGGGCTCGTTGGACCACGGCCCCGCCGGTCTGCAGCTGGGGGGAGCTTAACCAAATTTTTTCAGGTCTGACTTCTTGAAGCCCTGACTTCTTCTTCCGTCCAATGTGGATCCTTCCCAAAGTGCTCACGGGGCAGAGCTCTTCCACCTTAAACGACGCAACAGCTTGCGCGTGAGATCAGTGGCTGACCACGGATCCGTGGGTACCCACGGGGGTGAAAACTGGTGCTCTGTCACATAGTTACTTGGGGACAACGAAACAGCGCAAGAAGCCACCAAGGGCACCCGTCCGGCTCTATCGCTGGGGGCCTGACATTAACTTTCAGCTTCCCGGAGTCCCAAACATTGACGGGAAAAAGCAAACTCCCGTGCACAAGAAAATTCACCTTTTTTGGCAGCAGGAGCGGTGACAAGGACAGCTGAGCCAGCGGTGGCTGCGGCCCGGCGCCGCTGCTGGTCAGGACCAGCGTCCCGAGCCCGGCTGCGGTATCCACAGCGGCTGGTCGCTCTGCAGCTGGGAGGCAGTCGGCAAAAGGGAGTTATCCCAGTGAAGTGGGGAGGCTGGTGTTGCCCCAGGGCTTTGCACGCACCCTCCCGTCATTTCTACAGACCTCTGGTGTAACTTCCAGGCCCTGTTGCTCAGAGCAAGCGATTTGTTTATTTGTCCCAAAGCGCCTTTGAGAAATCAACTGCTCCGCAGCGTTCGGTATCAGAGAAGGATTTGCATCGAGCTGCGCTAAGGGCTCATCGTTACCCTCTTCGCCAGCCATGTGTGTCACTCAGCTGCAGGCTACCGCCGCGTTTCCAAACTATCTGGAGCAAACAAAGGCAGCGGCACAAGGCGGGTGCTGGCGGAAGCTGTGCCTTGCATGCGAGGCTAAGCGAGCCCGGGCCGGCGGCGGCAGCGTGCGCGGGGATGTGCAGGAGGCAGCCGCTTTGAACGTGCGACCGGCCGTCAGCTGGCCGGGCAGCGTTTTGCTGCTTCATCCTGGAGCTTCCTTGGCTCAGCATGTCCTGGCCGGTCACTCCGCTCTTGCAGGAGCGCTGCTGAGAGCAGCCTGGGAGCCAGCCAAAGGCAGCATCTGCACCCTACGCTTGCAAGGTGCGCATTTAAGGCCAAATCTTGCTTATATTAATCACTTCAGTTGCTGCGGTGGTTGCGGTGGGGCATGGCAGCAGGAGATTTTGCCAACGTTTCATTGCTTTTGTCCACAGCGGAGTTTTCCAGCCAGCATCAGAACCAAATAGCCAGCATCAGAACCAAATCATCGTTTCCCAGGAGCGGGAACAGACTTGGCGCCCCACTGACAAGGGATGGGGGGGGGTGTCCTGCCAACAGGGAGAGAAAAGCTGGGGCCAAG